TAAAACTCGATCCTTAGCATACCAGGTGTTCAGAAAGTAAAGAGCATGCATCCTAACATTCAATTATTATCCCAGATTATCATAAAGACTCATTAGGATGAGAATGCCACAACCACAATATATCACTACATTAATATATATTTTGGGATGCAGGTCATCTACCACCTGAATACCTTTTACAGTAAGAATGAGATTTATAACTCCTTCCAGTCTTAAGGATGAAAGGATCCTAATGTGGATTATCTCACTCCATATTTCAAGAGTTAAGTGAAATGCCACTGGCAAACTCAGCTCCTACACAAATTGCATTTTCGCATCTGGAAAAGATCCTATGTAATATTCTGGTGAAATGTTATGGGTTTCATTTTAACTATTGCTCAACTTTTTAACTTTTTTATATCAATGTTGATTTTATATGCCTACTTCTTTATTTGTTTTAATGTGTACAATTTTGTCTGTGTACATTTACATGTACATAAAAATAACATAACTCAACACTAAATGTTTCGTACACAATTTATATTAATTTTTTAAAATTTAAACGAGATATTTTTTATTAATTTTAACACTACTAAATTCAATGAAGTTAATAATATAAGCATTACTAGAAGATGTAACAACTTTTTTGGTTGAAGTCTAGTATATAGTACAACTTATGGAAGTCTTTTCAACCGCACTTCGCGGCGTTCCGGTGGAAACTGCGCATTTTGACTTCTGGAGGCTTCCTTGAAAAGTGCTTTTTTATAAATGTGAATTGGTAATTATGCGGTGGGTTGACTCAAGATGTTTATAGTGAATGCAAGGGCCAAAGTTCCGAGCCTCGCCGTGACTTGGATACGAGCGAGCAAAGCGAGAAAACTTGCCTTTGAAAGTAAATTGGCATTACAATGCGGCGGGGACTAAGTGTATGAAGGGCGAGCCATGAAAATCACCTATCCGTAAGTTTTATTCATTTCTATCAGAGCACATAGCATAATTTAAGAGAGGGATTAAGGAGACCCCTCTCCACCGCAATGCTTATCTGAGGGTGTACCATGTACCCTACTTTAACCACTTCTTTCTATTTACCTCTCCCTTGTTTGCTTTTATCACTGATATTCAGAAAACCCTCCTTTTCCTCCCACAAAAGAGCAAACTCAGGTTTTGAATGTCTCCATTAATACACATCTTACATATGAGGAGGTATGTGTGAAATGTTTTGTTTTTAGGGGAGAATTTTGAAATGAAGAGAGGAGTTAATTTATGCTGGAGTTTGATAAACTGCATTTGCTAAATACAGCAAAATGTTGTAAGTGTTTAGATATTTAAGTTGAAATTTTGAGACTTCAGAGGAATTTTTACATGAACCCTAGTCCTATATACTTTATCAACACATTGTACACAATATTTTTTACTGCAAGTGGTTTATAACTCTAACAATTAAGTAATCAAATTATTTGTATCCTTTTTTTTCAGCCTTTTCATAGAAACATTTTCTACCTACTTTCACACAAAAGAAATTCTTCTTTAAGTGAAGCTAAATTTATGTTGTAATGTATCCTCTGCAGATTATACTGAAGTAAATATTTTATTGCCATATTGTCATAACAATATATAATAATTTCTCATATTCTCATAACTTATTTTCACAAACAGAAGTAAAATTACATTAAACAAAGTTTATATACTGCACCACACTCACAACAGTGAAAATGGCCACTGATTCAGATTTTCCAGCGTACTTCTCCACTAGTCTGTTACTAATTGAGAATCAATAAAGATTGGTATCAGAAGTGTAGGACTTAAATTTCACTAGATTTTACAGGCTGATTTCATGAAAAACTCAAAGCACACTAACAATAAACCCACAAAAATTGATACTAATAATGCAATTTGATAATGTGGTGTGTAGTATAAAATGTTATAAATATTTATATTTAAAATAATTTCAAGACTCAAGTTGGGTTTATTTGAAAATTTGTTTTGCCAACCAAAGGAGGTACACTGCCTAAGAAGATACTGTTTTTGCTCCATGAAGTATGCACTATTGTGCAGGGCCGAATCTTGTTTCACGCACAGTCAATATATTGAAGAGAAACACTCATAATCAAGCAAATAATCAATCCCTAAACTTCAGTAGAAAAGCATTTGAAGGTATCCAGTTACAAGGACACTACTTTGAACACAGGATGTTTTCCAAATTATATATTATGCAATCAATTGAAAACCTCTTTTGATGTTTTTCCACATATATTCTCCAAATTTTTACCACATCCATTCCAAATTCTTCCTATAAATCCTTTAGTGGAAATAGAGTAAAGTATACTTTTTGGACCACCAAAGGTTTTACATTTATAAAAACATGTACATTTTTGAAAACCACAAACAAGTTGGTTTACAAACCTCAGTTACTCTTGCCTAAACAATTATAAACTAGGGGGGTTTTCACAAGTAATAAACTCCGCAAACGTATGGATTTTAAACATTTTACCATGCCCAGAACATTAAATTATAAAACATAACATTTGTTTTCATTACAACTTTTAAAAACAACTGTTCATTTACTTTCATCGCTTTCTTAAAAGTTACATAACTGATTTATTTTGTGATTGAATGCATTCTCAAATGTACCAATAAGTAATTTCCTGCTATGTTTCCCATTATTTTATAAAATTTGATGTATAAACAAAATAAAAATGATATTATTTAAAATTGCTCAGATAGATTTTTTTAAATAACTCCAATTTGTTTTCTTCATGTTTTTTACTGCTTTCATTATATACAATGAGTCTCTTTTTACTTAACATTTTGGGGATTATTGTCAGGGCAATGAATTTTGTTGAACATTATGTCGATGTATAGAATTAGCTATGAAATAATCATTTATGCAAAGGCATAATGAATTTTGTTTTTGAATTAGATCTTTTAATACATATGGATTTAGCCATTGTAAGCTGTGCACAGAGAATGTATGTACTGTGATTATCTATGTGGGAGATCGTTAAAGCATCAGTGTATGAATTTTAATATAGTTATTACAATTATAAAGTACAATTATTATATTTTTAAGTGCGTTTTACAAATAACTTAAGAACATTTATTGGTAAGTTCCAACACAACTAGTTTTATATTCTCATTATATCTATTTTAATTTTTAGCCAATGTGAGACATCAAACACACCCTCTTATTTAGTTCAAATCAAGCATTTGTTACATGGCCAGTTTTTATTACATGCAACTGAAATATTCCCCAAGTCCTGAGAATGAACTAAATTCTTCATGTTACTATTATTAAATACTACTATTGACAATATGAGTTCATTCATGCAAGGCAGCATGGATGTTTGAAACACACAAATTCATCACAACCTCCCTCAAAGCAATTGAGATAAGTTGGTTCTAATAGATGGATGTTCTACATGATTGGATTTGTCTTCACATCCTCTAAGAAAGAAAGAAAAAAGAAAAAAACAACAACCAAAACAAAAACACACACACCTCATGTTCACGAAGGGCCTATTAAGCAGATAACTTAATTCATTACATTTAGACATCAATATTTTATCGCTCTGTTAACTTCAACCAGAATCACCATACATTCTAAAACAAATTATCCCACAATGCAAAATTGTAAATTTGATTATATTGACTGCGCTTTGAAACTGTAGGGTGAGGGTAGCAAAGGGAGAGAGAAAGAAAGATAGAGAAATCATAATTGCAAGTAACACTGTAGATAATTAACTGTATGTCATAACACATTATTTTGTCGTGTATTATTGCACGTAATATAAAAGTATTAAGGGAGCAATCTATTAATAGTAAATTATTAATAAATAAATAAAGTAAGCTATACTACATACAGCAGCAAATCACTTGCACAAAGTATCTTTACAGAATATCAGAACATTAACCCTCTGTTGCACATGCTGTGTTTGTGGCATGAATACATGCATACGGACTGAGAGTTGGCAAACTGAAACCACTATCTTCTGACAAATTTAAAAGCTGTTTTTATAGTATTTTTTGTGCATATACAATAGACTTTGTGTTACAATAATATCAATCAATTGCTGGCATTGATTTTTGTATTGTCATTAGATTAATATATATTTAATGAATAATATATATTTTTTGTTCATTTGTGATACACATTTCTCATTAGCAATCTGATATTGAAAAAGCTTTAGCAAATTAAGAACAACATGCGATACAAATAATAATAATAATAATAATAATAATAATAATAATAATAATAATAATAATAATAATAAGCACAGTGTTACTTTAAGAAGAAATAATTTTGTTCAAAATATTCAATATAAAAAATGCTGTGAAGAAGCTAATGATGAGCCTTATGACCTAAATTGTTTGGTGAAAATTTTATCTCAATATCTAGAATTGTTTAGATTAGAAAATATTAGAGGTTGAGTTTTTATTGAATAACCCTGTGTATTTATAACTATTATTATTATTATTATTATTATTATTATTATTATTATTATTATTATTATTATTATTATTAACTAATTGACCATAAATCTGCCACTATATTGGAGTTGGTATGCAAATAATTTGAGATTTTATACAATTTTTGTAATAGAAAAAATATTTATGCACTTCTCTGATAGTTAAACATTAATAAACCATTAGAAAAATGGATAAACATTTTGTTTAAATCGTAAATACTATGTTTCAATAGTAACACATATAAAAAACATGAGAACTTGTAACACAAACACCCGCGTGCAGACTGATGATGCACATCACTACTTATTCTGCAGTAGGCAACATCTGCAAGGACTGAAAAAGGTTTCTTCGACACCTATGGATGAGTCGCCACGACTGAGGAAGATTCAGGATGCCGCAACTCAATACCTTCTGATAACTTACAATGAGACGTAAAAACATAAGATTGCAGGGTCTTAGTCCCTGTGCATGTAACAGAGGGTTAACATGAGTCATTTTCTGAACAAATCAATTATGAGAAATTAAATTAAGGGATTTTAAATAAGAATTACAATTCATATTGAAATTACTGATACGCACATCCCAAGGCCACTGCCCTTTCCTCCAAATGGTTCCTTTTTGCATGAACTCTTCTTCTTAAGATGAGAACTCTGTAAAATATACAACAACTTAAGGGATAATCTGCATAATATTTCTAACTAAACAGAAAATTTCTAACAGTTCACTAAATACAAGATTATCATTTTTCAGCATTCTTTCAACAATGAATTTAAATTCATAGAATATAAAATGCAGAATTTTACAACACATCCAATATTACAAAAACTTTTGTCTGAAATACGCTGTGTAACAAAAAATACAGGGAATCAAAATTAACACAGAAATAAAAAAGCGCCCAATTTACATAATTCAATAACAATTTTTATTTGTGTTAATTTTTTCTTTGTAAACAAATTTATTCATTTATTTTGTAAATAATAAACAAATTACATGTTTCCATGTTTGTGAAGTGCAAATTAATTGTGATATAAATTAATAACCAGTTTGAACACCTAACACGCAAAATGAAATTTCACTTATGTTACCAACTCTACACTTTAGTGTATAATATACAAGAACAACATTTAAACAGTTAATCACAGTTTCAATATGTGAAGGAATACATCACTAAACAAAACTCGACATTCAGCAAGTACGCAAAATTAATATGAACATTTTGGGAGTAACATAAAATTAAAAAAGCAGCTGATATATTAGTAATTTTGAAAATCTTAATTAAATGGCATCATGAAATCATATTGATATTTAGGAAGTCCAAAGTGTAGCGATCAGAGCCTTTATCATCCTGCCTCTTGTATGAATACAAAAAACAGGAAAGTAAATCTTTGAATGAATGTCTATCTGTGCAAACTACTCGGTGGCTGTCTAGATAAAATACTTGATTTGAGGCTTTGTTGTCAAATACTACCTGGTTCTGTGCATGCTGATTTACCCCAGTTTGCTGAGTTTGTCCACTGCACTCAGGGCCTTCTGGCTTCACCCAGAAGAGATGGCCTGGATCTGGTTTGAGGCACTGCCCCTCGACCCCTGGGAGTCCCTGGGGCTGCAACACATAAGGCCACTGCCAGGCGCGTGAAGGCTACCCGCGAAGCCTAATGCAAGTTTGTCAAATCGGACACTCAATGCGTGACCTACCTGTGACAGATGAGGATACATTACGGGTTTCGGGGCTAGCAGCAACTTTACTTCTGCCAGGGGTTGTCCCTGTCCCAATTGCATCTGGTTCGGTGCAGAGCACGAAGAATTTGAGCTCGCCGCCATTCCTATTGCTTCTTGGGACGGCGGCTAGTACTTCTGCACCTACTTCGTACTCCTTTCTATTATATTTCACACATGAAGACACGACTAAATCTAGGTTTTCTCAGTGAAATTTAATGAAAACACTAATTTTGAGGTTATGATGTAGAAACGCTTCTTGTTTACCACACACTAACTATCGATCCGTGTTCGAGACAACTCGAATCGTCACGGAAACAAAGGATGTGGTGGAAACCGCAGGATACCGTAAAGTTGTGTGGAAAACGGAATTAAAAATGCCCTTTATGTTTTTCCTTTGTCAGGTTTGAAGAAAAAAAAAAGGGGTAAAAAAGAGAAAAAACACCTAGAGGTGTGTTTTAGATACACCGTATGTGTTATTTAAACAGCTCTAAATCTATACTGTTAAAATGAATTAATAAACGTCGCTTTCGAGAATATTGATCTCTTGCCTCATTTTATCCCGTGCAAAGAAATAGGGTAATGAGCGTGAACATTCCATGATTTAAACATTTAATTCAAACTCACTAAAATAAAAGGGAACAGAACTCATTTATTGTAATGCATCATTGATGACAGGTTGGGTATGTATGACACCATTAGACTACACTTTAAAAAAAAAGTACAATATACAACTACTCTTTCTGTACTAATATTCTTGCTATAATTTCATTACTTAAAACTGAATGCCACATTAATTAGAATATACATATTGGTTGGATGCAAATACAAAATAATGGTTTTATTGAATGATCTATTTCTATTGCTCTATAATAACGCAACATTATCATTACAACACTGTTTCAACTAAGTAAATAATTGGTAAATTTTCCTTCAATGTACATTATCAGTCATTGACAGTTTTGATAAGTTCTCAGAGAGATATAGCTAAATAGGCCATTAGGTCCACAGATTTGGAGGTCCTGTAATGTATATTTATTTATAAAGAAAAATCATTTTACATTAGTTTTCAAAATAGCATAACGAATCATTCAATTTCTCTTCTAGATTTTTTAAAATAAAGTGGTAGGCTAACTAATAACCATCAAAAAGGACAATTATTCTAACTGTGGGTCACACTCTCATTAGTATTAGAGAACAAATGTTCAAAAATGAATGCACTCTTAAAACCTGCCTTAAACAATCTGTTTCCTGATAAAATCTGTAAAGGCTTTTTCTATGTACAAAATAAAATAATTTGCAAAAGCAAATACAGAAACAAATTTTCAATTATAGAGTAATAGTCTTCATACCCCAAACTTCTGAATGGGCATCAACTCAAAAAGCATAAAATAATTTGTACACAACAGTCAACAATACACTTTTCTCTCACATACAAAAAATAACATGTCATGAATTACAATAAATTGGCTAGAATAAATTTACTACTGATAAAAACAATATCTGTACATACACAATAAGAATCACACAAAACGTTTCTATTTATCTTTCTATATAACCTATTAATTTTATTAGAAAAGTATTACAAATAAACACGCTCAACAATCAAATTCACTCAAAGCTAAGACATCCTAACAAAGTAAGGGACATACTACTACTGTCAAAATGGCTTAGGACTGAAATGAACAATGAATTCCACTCAAACACATACAATTCAAATATTGTAATGGAAAAGTAAACTTCATAAATCAAATAATAAGATAATTTTGCAAAACTGACACAAAGGTTTACTACATGTTGTTAAATATGACAACACTAAGTTTATTATAAATTGTACTTAAATAAGTGCTACTTCATAAACATTCAGAGAAATGTGAGACATACAATTTATAATTCATATAACAAATGACAAAAAGAGAAATATCTGCAGTTATATTTTACATTCAGCAATGGAAATCACATCCGAAAGTATTAAAAAAAATATTAACTATAATTTACTAGTTATTGTTATTTTAAACTGGCAGAAAGTAATGCATATCATAATATTATTATGACGTAGCACACAACAGAATGTTATTCAAATAAAAACATTTGTAAGTAGAATTTCTTTTGTAGATTTGAAACATAAAATTACATGAACACTGCAAAGCTTTTACATACTATACAAAAGTAAATGTTTTAAAATTAATTCTCTTGACAGAATCTTATTGGAATGAATCGTTATCAAGTTGCCATTCGCAGTATGTACAATAAATAAAAAAAAGTCACTATACACTATGGCCCCACAACTTAGTATGTACAATAAAAGACAAGCACAAAGAAAAAATTACCATCACCACCAATTTATTCCATAATTTCTTTCGTTTCTTAATATACTCTGTATATCGGGGCAGAAGAAACGTAGGAATTTTGTAATTCTTTTCAAAATCATTCAACCATACCAATCTCAAGTACATCAAAAAGATTTGTTTATTACTACTTTAACATGAGAATAAAAAGTTCTTGGTAATTCATTTTAAGATATCAATATTTCTTAGTCAAAAGATAAGAAAGAAAAAATGTGGTCACAACAGAAAATGCCACAAGTAATGAAACTTCAAGACATACCACACTCAACAAATGATGCGGTCAGGAAGTACAAAAGTACTCTTCATCACACAATTATGCTGGTGGCTGAGAAAGCTCACTGTGTTTTTTAAATTTATTTCAGCTGTCCACAGCCTCTGGGCTGCCATGCACACTGGACATCGAATGGGAAGAGCTACTGCTGCTGTTACTGCTTCTCTTACGATTGCTGCTGCTGCTGCTGCTACTGCTACTGCTGCTGCTACTACTGCTGCTGCTGCTGCTGCTGCTGTGGCTGCTGCTGGAACTGCTATTGCTGTTGTTGTCGCTCTTTTTCTCATGGGGGAGGGCCGGAACCCTCACTCGTTGTCACTGGCCCGGATGGAAGCTTGACCAGAGGATCTGGCTGCGCTCAGCATCCGTGTTCTCGAGATGGGAGTCGAAGTGCTTCTTCAGGCTGTGTCTGCGCGCAAAGGTTTTCTCGCACAACTCACATTTATGTACTTTGTCTCCCGTGTGGGAAGTCGCATGCCGGAGCAATTCGCTTCGCTGAAGGAAGCCTCTATTGCAATACTCACATTTATATGGGCGCTCCGATGAATGTGTCAACATGTGCTTCTTAAGACCGCTTTCCTCGCAGAATGCTTTGTCACACTGCGTGCAACGCCATGGCCGTTCACCACGATGTCGTTTGTAGTGGCGAAGAAGTTGATTGTGCTCGAAGAATGCTTTACCACACTCCTCACATCGATGCTTACGGATGCAAAGGTGTGCAGGTAGTTGTGTTGGAACAAGTGTTGGTGAATCTTTGATGTGACTACGGAGGTGTTTATTAAGACTATATCTACGGGCATATGACTTATCACACATCTCACACTTAAACATCTTATTTCCTGTGTGAGAATTTGTATGTCGTAGAAGTTCACTTGGTTGGAAGAATCCTCTTCCACAGTATTCACATTTGTATGGTCTTTCTGCTGAGTGAGTTAAAACATGTTTCTTGAGCCCACTCTCTTCACAGAAGGCTTTATCACACTGTGTGCAACGCCAAGGACGTTCATTGCTGTGACGTTTGTAATGGCGGAGGAGATGATTGTGCTCAAAAAACTCCTTCCCACATTCTTCACAACGATGTTTGCGAACACCAATGTGTGATCGCAAGTGACGCAGCCGGTGACTCTCATCTGAGAAAGTTTTTCCACACATATCACACTTAAAAGGCTGTTCACCTGTGTGGGTACGAGCATGACGAATGAGGTGGTGAGGTTGTGTGAAAATCTTGCCACAGTCTTTGCAGCGAAATTCATCCACAAGTGAATCTCCTGAACGTGAGAGGCCAGAGCTTGATGATGCTCTGTAGAACAAAAATTACCAGTTATTTTCAATGTCAATTTTATTTTCGACAAACATCACAATCATATTTTTACTTATGAAAGCAATTTTAGAAGTTATCATCCCAGGGATAACTATTATGAGTTAAAAGAGGACTTCCTCTTGCATTTTTTAAAATACCACATTCCTTCAAAAATGAAGTGAGTTGTGGCAGTTATAGAATCAAAGGGGCCAGAATCCTTTTATAAAATATCATAGACCACCACCAAATAATAACTTATAATTCATCACCCTATTTAGTTCACAAATATTTCCCTTTTTTTCATAAGTGGTTAAGTATATGCTCAAATCATAGTAAAAAGCCCATTTTAATAAATAGATTCTAATAATTATTTATCATTTTCAGGGATGAGCAATTTTCATTTTGGGATATACTTCTGTTTCAGGCATACTTAATTAGTTAATTAACTACTTATAATTAACAAAAATTAAGTAATGACTAGAGAATTGATTTCAAGTATTAAGAAAATTCCAAGCAAAAATTTCCCAATTTCCAACAATAAATATGTATATGCGCCAATTGTAGCTAGATGTGGGGCTCTGAAATGGTCTTTAGAAGAAGCCTCATCTCACAAATGCTGATTTGCAAATTTTATGCTGATAAGTTATGTGTAAAACACTGGTCAACAACCTCAGACAGTCAAATTATTAAATTTTAAAGCACATTTCAAAACACAAAACTGTCTTGTATGATATATTTAACACTGATTTACTCATATTTTATGATTATTCTTACAAGTAATGAACTAATTATAAGTTTGATGACTGAAGCGTGATAAAAAAATAAATATGATGTGCTTAAGTTAAAAAGAAACAACTTCCAAAATATAACAATTATACCTCAGCAAAGAGAACAAAAATTTAAAATTCTTCTTTCAATTCAACCTTTTTCATAAATTTAATAAACATATACAGATCGCAAATTTAAAAAAAAACAAAACATTTTATCAATGAATATAATAGGTACATAGACTGCTCTGATGTTATTGACTCTTAGCACTTCACAAAGAATAATGATTTTTAATGAGGAAAGGGTTTAGGAAAGTATACTGCTGTGGCAACTGAAATACATATTCTGAAGAAGTTGTGTTCACAGAAAACCCTTTGTAGTTATATATCTTACTGAGTTTGATATTATAGACAGACAGGAGTTCAAACAAGTTTCAATTATATCAGGTTACAACTATTAACATACATACTAATGTTATGAGTGTTATAACTGCAGAGGCCAAAAGTTAAAAATCAAGGCAGAGCGAAATCATCAAAATGTTCATAATTTCTGCAATAATAAACATGAATTCTGTTGCTGCGGCACATTAAGACGATATTGTGGGGTGTTGCTTGCAATATATCCATTTAAACAATATTCGTATACTGTAGTTCAAGAAAGATGGATACCAATAATTCTCTTAAACCAAAAGATAACTAAAGATATGACGTTTGGTGAGTTGGCATGTTGACTACACATCGTCAGTAAATATGATTACTTGAGAAGAATTTCATAATAATAAGTTTTTTCTTAATAAAAATTTGACTAGCAATTAATCAATGATTGTTTATTTACATTGCTAAGGATGTTAAATTTCTTAACATACAGGTAGGTACAACAAATCTGTATGGTTGCATGTTAACAGAAGTTAAAGTCGCATGTGACCGATACATTAATTATGTCGTGGCAAACACACAGGAACTTATCTTAATGAAATACACAATTACATGAAATATTGAAGAATATTTATGTTGTGATAGTACAAATAGACCCAAATACCTTAGTAGTTGAATGCTCTTAGTAATATTATATTTTATAATGTAAAAATTATGCTTGCCTTGGAAGATAAAATTAATGGAGTTTTTTGGGAGAGCAAATATCATACAATTTTACGAAGTTTCCCTAGCTAATTAAATATAACTTGTGATAACTTTATTGGATAAAGTTGTTTTAATACTTAAAATTACAATTAAACATTGAATGAAATTGATAAGACACTTTTAATAGTTGGTTGTTCAACATTGTTCGTTGAAAACTGCAATCATTTCATTTCCACATTCAAAGAGAGATAAACACCAAAATTTTATGTAAGATACTCACAAACTAACTGCATCAGCATTCTTGCTGCTACCCCCACGTTGTTGATCCTTTCCAGAAGTCTTTGTTTTGTTTGATTCCTGTAAGAAACAATCAGAATTTACAAGTTACAATGAGCTAGAAATAAGAAAAGTGACAGAAACAGATCCATCAAAATAGATAATATCAATTTTTGCACTGTGACAAATATGTTTCTCAGTAAATATTGTTGATTTGGAGAAAGCTATTTATTCAACATCTCAAGGAGTTAAGTACTTTTGATAGGCAACTATCAAGGGTGTTTCCAACAATAATTACAGAAAGCTTACATAGAAAATTAATGCTGTATAAATAGCTTTCGGAAAATTTGGAGAAGATAAAACACCCACATATTGGCATAAAAGCCCTCATTACACAAAGTCATCAAATAATATTTCATTTTTGTCCTTCAACATTAAAACTAGTTTTGTCCTCTGCATAAGTTTTCTCCCAACTAAAGTTGTTTATGCATTGGCAACGTGTTGGCACTATGTTTTATAGCAGACTATTAAAAATACATTTTAAAGGAGCATATGAAGAAATTTTTTTGACCAACGTGCTTGAAACAATTATTGGACTAGTCATTGCCCTCTTTCTTAGACTGTTCAGTAGTTGAAAAGGCAGAAACTAGAAATCAATTAATATAATTTGACAAAAGTAATTAAAATCTTCCTAGGGTCACAAAATTATTCACCGGAAGTAAAATTTGAAAGAATTTGTATGGTAATGCTCAAATCACAATAAACTTTACCTTCACTTGTGGCTCAGTGGCAGTTGCTTGCTGAGCTGAAACTGCAGGCTGGGTAAGCAAGGCTTGTGTGCCGCAACCTTCCACTGGCTTTACCCAGAACAAATGGGCTGCCTCCTGTTTCCCACTTTGTGCATCACTTGATATTCCATCCTAAAATAGAAGAAGAGAGGCAGGTAGCTTGTCTTTACGATAAGAAGACATTTAAAACTAAATCTACCATTTCTGCTCCTCAGTAGTCACCTCCTTTGTCAGAGGCCTACAAGGTGCAGAAAAATCGAAAGGTATATGGTTACAGTATTTGTAGTCATAACCGTAATTTGAATACTTTTGAAGGCGGAAGGAAATCGAAGGGAGAAATAAAAACAAGTTTCTATAATACAGAGACGTTTGCTCGCGCGGGGTTTATGCCCTCTTGTTTTATATTGCAACTTTAATCTCATCGACTAGTCAGGCCGTCAAAACATTGAATTCATAACCTTCGTCCTACCTGAGACAAATGCGGGCTCATAATAGGTTTCGGAGGAAGTAACAACTTCACTTCGGCAACAGGCTGGTTTTGACCCATCTGCATCGGATTGGGCGCGCAGGAACTCGTTGGGTCCGCCATTCCTGCGTTGCCGGTGACCTCCGTTTACACAATTCCCTTATTTACACATTTACTTTGTAACCACACTACTATATAACGTACAACTTTAATGTAACTCTCAACACCAGGAACAAAAAACCCCTTTTCTTTTTAGGTTAGGCTCGTAGTCCTTGTTTACTATTACTGTATCGACTTAATCACGATATCTCGAAAAGACAATGTCGATATGCGCACGCACAGTTACATATAAAATCGATAAATGGCCATTTCACAAATACTTAATTTGAGCCATCGTTTATTCAAACAAGTCAAATAATACTTACCTACGGTTTTGCAGCTTCAGTATCTCTTGTAACCTACCAATTAAATTGATATAATAATATACTGATACATTTTGAGCATCCTCATTGTTTATTTATTGTTAAAAATCATTAACAAAGGTCATTCTTTTAAATATTTTGTATAAAAAGGTTAAAAAAAGTAAAATACAAGACGAAAAATGCGTCTTACATAATGGGGAATGCCGGTCAATTAAAATTGAGAGGCTTCAAATTATACAGCCACACAGTAAATTAACATGGGCAGAAATGTCTAAAACTTTTACATCCATCCTGTGATTCATTCACAAAACAAAAAAAAAACATCCTCAGGAAGAATTATATAATGTGTGATTTTAGCATAAACACAGTTTTATCAACAACATAAAAATTACTCAATACTGTAATTCAAATATAAACTAACCTTCACTGATAAATTACATTTTCTAGTTCTTTTTGCACAATATTTCCTGAGAATGTCTTCAATGAAATACATTGTGAAATTTCTTATATCTAATACAAAAAAAATTTCAAAATGAACTCCCAGATTCTTAACAGAACACTCAAAACTTCAACCAGAGATAAAAAGTGTTATACTGTGGGCATAAAAATACATAAAGATATCTCACAAATTAACTAATTTGTCAAATTTGTTAAAAATAATATCACAGGGTAAAGATACACAATAATGGATTTAATTTCTGGCATGGAATACTGTTCTTAAACCACAAACAAGATTATTAGAAACTATTATGAATTCTTATTAGATATTTGAAGACTAAAAAGAATAGTACAACATTAAGAACAGAGATTGCAATGAAATGCAATAATCTGGAATGGATATTAAAATTTGGCCAGCATGCAAGTTTTCTGAACCCTCAGTTCTTAGTTACAATCAACTAATACTCTTTAGACAGTATTTTAAAACAAACACTGAAATCAACAGAGGTAAATTTGTATGACCATCAATTTTAGGAGGAAAGCGGTTAGCAGTGTTTCCAAGCCAGTTTAAATAAGAGAATCAGCAAAATATTCCTAAAACATTGTGTATCTGCACATTAGGTATTAAAATAATTATACTTTTGTATTTGCTTCATGAAGCAAAACATTCAAATTGAACTACCTGACAGAAGGCAACTCAAAATAATGTGGTTAATCCTCCAGGAATTCATCAAAGGTCACTCAATACAGATTTCTGTGTGGGAAGAAATGAGGCCGACCTGTTAGCACTAGTTCAACAAAAAATCATCCTCAGTAGGAGAGGCTTCCAGATCACTGTCAGAATCAGAGCTCAGTGAAGACAAGCCACTGCTACTTTCACTGCTGGTGCATCTAAATGGGAGGGCCGGAACCCTCACCAGCCGTCACTGCCCTGGATGGAAGCTGGACCACAGAACCTGACACCTATGCGATTGTGACATGTTCATGTGTGTGCTGAAATGTTTGTTAAGTGCATGACGATCCACAAAGGATTTTTCACATATTTCACATTTAAACATTTTATCTCCAGTATGGGAGGCTGCATGCCGCTGTAGCTCACTTCGCTGGTAGAAAGACCTGCTGCAGTATTCACATTGGTAGGGCCGATCAGTAGAATGTGTTTGCATATGCTTCTTAAGACCACTCTCCTCGCAGAAAGACTTGTCACACTGCAAGCAGCGCCATGGGCGGTCACCACGATGCCGTCTGTAGTGTCGCATCAACTGATTTCGTTCAAAGAATTCTTTTCCACATTCCTCACAACGATGTTTACGGATGCCAATGTGTGTGCGCATGTGACGTAACCGATGACTTTCATCAGAGAAGGTTTTTCCACACATTTCACATTTAAACGGTTGTTCTCCAGTATGAATTCGTCTGTGGCGAATCAGATGATGAGGTTGAGAGAAGATTTTGCCACAGTCTTTGCAGCGAAACTCCTCCAAAGGATCTCCTCCATTCCGCGAGCTCCCAATGATGGATGATGCCCTGCGGCACACAACCATAGCCTTATGTTTTTTCTGCCTTAAAGATCTCTGCTTGCAAATAATGGAGTAGATGGACAGGACTTTCTTAACTGAAAAGATGCCAGAACTTTCATTTGACACATTTTTATTATAAACACATTTTCTCAAAAAGCTGGAATATTTATTACTTCACTATTATTATTTGTTCTGGAGTTTGTATTTTATACTCGTAAATACTAAGCATATTAAAAATATAATTATTAGCAAACATCAGATCAGTGCATTTTCTGCTACAAAAAGCCCTGCCCAAGTGGCACTGAATAATACTTATGGTCATTCACAAAATTATGATCGTCTAAAACTGGAAGAGTTTCAAATCTTTTCCCTTCAGATTTGATTTCAACTTCTGAAGAGAATCTAGACAAGAGTTGTTCAATAAAACAGAAAGTTTTATTTAGAAATTGAAGTTTATTTCAGTACACCTCCAGTGGTCAAAGTCATTACACCTCAATACTTTCTGTAAGCACAATTAGCACAGTCAATTTTTTATATATTAAATATAATTTATTAAAATATACGTACAAAGTCAAGAGATCTAAATTAGGGAACTTATTGAACCACTACATATTGCAGCCCTGAGGAGATACCCACGGGCTGATCCCGTCACTGCTTTTGCTGCTGCAGCTGTGATGCGTCTTGCCGGATGCCTTGCTCTTGGAAGGGGACACCTGCGAACAAGAGCTGAGTTAGCGAGGGGCGCCGTGTCGCTCTGCTCTAGCGACCGCTGAATGCGACCGCCATGCACGATGGCTCCAGCCTACCTGTGAAGGGGGATGGCCTGGTGCTGTTGAGCTCTGATGGTTCTGGGGACTATGGTGATTTTGTGCAGGAGCTCCTTGGTGGTTCTGCTGTTGCTGCTGCTGCTGCTGCTGCTGCGGCTGAGTATTCTGGGTGTGGTTTTGTTGGGCTTGGTGGGCAGCAGCCGCTGCTGCGGCTGCCTGGGCACGTGCTGTATCCTGTTCCGTGGGTTTCACCCAAAACAGGTGGGCAGGGTCAGGCTTGCCTGAGTGGCCCTTGGTGGGGTCTCTTCCCTGCAGCATATACGACAACTACCAGGCACATGCAGGCTGCCTGGACAGCCCTCAACCCCACTTGGGCCGTGCTCAAGGGAAGAGACAGTTGGCACACACCTCAATCTGCTATTCATTTGTATTATAGCTTTAACACAAGTCACATATTGGTAAGACAGCTATTTTATTTTGCCTATGTATTGATCTTCCACACAAATAACTATGTTAAAATTCCTACAATTAATTTTTTTAAAGTGAATTTATTAATAATACAAGAATTAGTTTTAGTCACAACACAAAAATCTGTTAACAACCTGTACTTATAATACAAGAATATTCTGAAATTTCAGAAATATTTTTGTCAATCTTTCATCAAACATAACAGCTTTTTTTTCCTTCTTTCTTTTTAAGTTACTTTGTAGTAAAAAAATGCGTATCTTCAGAAGCTTCATATATTTTGAATCTATGATATGTGTACTTCACTTCTCCAAAAACTATTAACATGTGTTCTATGGAATTCATAATAAAGATTAGATTTTAGTGCAATACTTCTGAATAAGCTGTTTACAATAGCCGTTTATAATTAGTTCAAATGGATTCAAAACTCAGCAGAGGATCAGCTAAAAATTATTTCAAGAATGTGAAAAAAGCAAAGAATGAAAAAATCAATGCATAGTGGAAGGGAAAAAAAACATGCAAACAATAGTTATTGTAATTAGGAAAAAAAGAAAAAAGGAAAAACTATTAAAAATAAAAAACAGGAATATACAAAAGTTTAATACTTTATTGCTCATATACAGCATTTACCCCACTATACAACAAGTTCCCTCCCCCCCCAATCTCTTTTGAAAAATATGTTGTTCCGTATTCACAGATTAAGTGTAATCGGCGTAGTGTGTGTGTGTGTGCGTGCGCGTGGTGTGTGCGTATGGTGTGTGTGTGCGTGCGCGTGTGGTGTGCGCGTGCGTGCGCGTGTGGTGTGCGCGTGCGTGCGTGTGTGCGCGCGTGGGTGTGCGGTGTGTGTGGGTGGTGTGTGGGTGGTGTGTGGGTGGTGTGTGTGGGGTGGTGGTGTGGGGGGGTGTGTGTGTGTGATGTGTGTGTGATGTGTGTGTGATATGTGTGTGATGTGTGTGTGTGATGTGTGTGATGTATGATGTGTGTGTGTGAGTGTGATGTGTGTGTGAGTGTGATGTGTGTGTGTGATGTGTGCAAGTGATGTGTGTGTGTGTGGTGTGCAAGTGATGTGTGTGTGTGTGGTGTGCAAGTGATGTGTGTGTGTGGTGTGCGTGTGGAGTGTGTGTGTGTGGTGTGCGTGTGTGTGTGTGCGGTGTGCGTGTGTGCGGTGTGCGTGTGTGCGGTGTGCGCGGGGGGCGTGTGCGTGTGTGTGGTGTGCGTGTGTGTGGTGTGCGTGTGTGTGGTGTGCGTGTGTGTGGTGTGCGTGATGTGTGGTGTGCGTGATGTGTGTGTGTGTGTGATGTGTGTGTGTGTGTGTGTGTGTGTGTGATGTGTGCGTGTCTATATATACCCAATATTTAAGTTATATATATACTTAACTTAAATGGAGGTGATACATTTGTGAACTGCAAACCTGTACATCCTTGATACTTTTTTTTTTATTATTCCATCTCTGGGGTTGAGTGTAAAATGAGTACGGCTATCATAATAATTTTTTCATTCCGGTCTTCCTCATTTTGCAAAACATGAAAATGGAAAAAATTATTATGATAGACATACTCATTATACACTCAACCCCAGGGATGGAATAATAATAATAATAATAATAATAATAATAATAATAATAATAATAATAATAATAATAATAAAAGTATCAAGGATGTACAGGTTTGCAGTTCACAAATGTATCACCTTCATTTAAGTTAATGGTGGTTAAGGAATCAGAGGCCATAAACATGGACAACAGAACAAAAAGCTTGTAACACAGGGCCTGGTAACAAACTTTCAGGAGGAAGGGCTAAAAGTCAGAGGACTGAAAGAAAACAACAATGTGCAGAGGAAGATGGTAATGACAAAAAAATTGGTTAATATGATGATAACGATTATAGTTTTAAAGAAAAAGAAAATAGGTCATGCAAGAAGTTTTGTTTTAACATTCTCATCAAGACAATTTTCTACTCAAATATTCTGCAATTTTAATTTGACTAAATAGTAAGAATTTGTTAAAAATTTTAAAAAATTCTCAGAACGTCTCTTCAAAATCAGGGAGTTGTCTTATATTTGGGTAAATATTGTAATACCAAAAAGACCAATAACATTATGATTATTATTATTATTATTATTATTATTATTATTATTATTATTATTATTATTATTATTACTTGTTATGAATGTTTTAACAGAAAAACATATGCATCTAACCTTCACATCAAGAATTTAGAAAATTGTGAATGCTATCCTTACAAACTATATTTTACAATTTTACTAAACTCTGACATTACAAAAAAGGATCAACAAAATGCTAATTTTTATTGAACTTATAAGATCAACTTGACCAATTAGGGCCCATTGTAAATGAGACAATGTCTGAATGAAGTAATTGAAATACAAATTGAGATAGGGGTTTAGATGCCAAATACAAGAATATTTATGAAAGAAATAGTAATTAATTTGCCACTCTTGTCATTCAGAAATAATTGAAATTAAATGCATCAGCAACGTATTTCTAAATGGGAACTTTATTTAGTCTCTGTTCACTTTAATACATTTGCATTTGGATAGTCATTTTTCTTTGACTGAAACAGAACAAAATCAAAACGAAAATTGTATGTTTTTATTTTGCAGAAAATGTAAGATTTTAAATTGCACTTAATTACATTAATAAAAAAGCAAGCCGGTGAACAACTAGCATGCATACAACTTGAAAAATAAACAAAGAAGAATGGAAGACAAACCAAATATAAAACCATGAAACTAAACAAATATTAACTTAATGTATTACGATTAATTGATTTGAAATCAAAATAATGTTTTGACATTTCACTTATAATAATTTATTCATTTGATGAAAAATGCAGTTCAAGTCAACAAATCTTTTCCAATTATTTGAACACGCACCTGTTACCTCTTGGAGTCTAATTTATTTTCAAAGAAACTATTGATTTGACACCTCAAAGTCTACATTCAGTTAGGCAAAAAATGTCCTTGCCAATTGCTGATGGATACTTATTTTCTTTGGGAGAAAATTAGTTTCTGTCAGTATGTTTCTAGTCTCCCCGTGGCGAAGTTTTGAACACCATCCCTTAGCAGAGTGAATGTGGCCCTGCCGATTTCCACTGCAAGCACGGCCCCTCATGCAGCACGAACACCAGTTGCAGAGGTACCTACCTGGGACAGGTGAGGATGCATACTAGGTTTGGGTGTCATCACTAGTTTCACCTCTGCCAAAGGCTGCGAACCCAGCTGCATCTGTGAAGGAAAGAAGGGCATGGATGGGTCAGGGCCCGCCACCAAAGGTGCTAAGAAATGAGGAGGGGGGCAGCTAAGTCCTGGGGTGGGGTGAGCAACAGGTCCCTGCATCCAAGCTGGCTCCGTGGGCTTCTGCAGCTGGGATGTTTCCTCAGGCTGCTGCTTCCTGCAACAACCACATTCAGCAATTTCTTAGACCAACCATAATCAATTCTCTGCAGCTAATAATCACAATGGTTTTCAAAGAAGAAATACCTATTACACGAAAATTAAAAACACACTAAAACTCACAGCACAAACATCAATTCCTGTTAACAATTAACTACTATTCTTACTGACCAATATTAATAAAAATTGTAAAATATAATTCACTATATATCAATGAGACGAAGCTTCGTCAAATTTTGCCAACCTCACAGTTAAAAATAATAATTACATAAGTATGTAAAAAGGATACTTTTAATGTTAATTTGTATTTATGATTTGATATTAATGTTTTTCAACCATTAGAAACGAAAATCATTAAAGAACTTGTCTTCACATATTAAAGGCTCCATTTGATCTCATTGAACAGTACACATACTTTCAAAATTTTACGTACTATTTATATTTGGAAGATGGACACTGAGTGAATAGATGCATTTTGCCATTAATTGGGATTCCTTTCCACAAGAACAGGCAAATAAAAATTGTCAACACAAGTCAGATAATCGAAAATTGTTACAAGTGAAACTCTAAAACTTACCCAGAGTAAAGTATTCACAGAGTTATGTACAAACAATTACTAGAACTAAACCCATTATAGAGAATTTACCATTTTACTCAATTATTTTAAAAAAACAAGAAGAACCATAGGAACATTTCCCACATTTTTTAGGTTTGTTAATTTCTTGCTGTCTAAACACCTAGCACTACTTACCTTTCTTTTTCTTACCTCTACCTTATATTTAAATGCAGAACGTAAGTCTTTCATTAAATTATGAACCCAATACATTCTTAATATAATTTATAGACTGAAATGTTTCTTATAAGAGGGTCACAATTAACATTCAATCTTGTGTATACAAATATTAAATAGTCCTTTGCACATACAAAAGCATTCTGCCTATATTAATTGCCAAGATTTACAATAATAGATTGCATAATGCTTTTGAATATTTTGAAACATTAACAAAACTTGGTAATTTACCAACTAATATTGCATTTTCAAAGAAAATAAACTGAAACCTTTTAAATAAAATCAAAAACTTTATAGATGATGATAATTATTATTATTATTATTATTATTATTATTATTATTATTATTATTATTATTATTATTATTTGTGCAATACATAACCATAAACCTCAACCTCATACTTTAATATAACAGGCATATGTATTATTTCATTATTTAGGTTAAGAAAATCCATCACAGAAGGTACAAATCTTGCAACTATTTTTTGAGACTGTAGCTTCATACTCTATTCAACAAAACCACTTTTCAAATTAACATAACAGTGATAAGGTTCAATATACTTCTCCCGTGATCAACACTACCTAAAATCAGAAAAAAAAGTTGATGAAGCGAGCCTACTGAGGTGTGTTAATATATGTTTTACAACATTGCTATTCAGCCTATAGTGCTTCAAGCTGACTGCTGAAAAAATCATAGTTTTAATATTAATCTATTAGTAGTCCCAGCCAGTGACTATATTTCACGAGTTACTATACAGAGGTTACTTTCTGAATAATGCTGAATGTTGTTCAGCATTATTAAAAGCTTTGATAAGTATTTAAAATTTTACAGCAACAGTATAAAAGGTAAAAATAACAACAATAATAATAATAATAATAATAATAATAATAATAATAATAATGTAAATAAATGGAAGAAACAATAGCAATTTTCTCTAAAGGGGAGAAACTGTAAAACAGCATTCTCATTGTTATGTACGCCAGATTCTAAACATGTCATGTGAGAAAAGAGGAAGATTTACTAATACCTCAATGGTATCTAAGCACAAGAAACCAAGAAATGGACAATAAGTATAGATCTTTGTTTCCAGACAGCATCCTAGCATCCTTTCTCAACAAATTCCAACATATCTTGTTCGGAAGTCAAGAAAACAGACTTAAAGAAACAACTTTTTTAAATGTAATTTTTAAAACTGACCCCAATTCACCTCATCAAAAATAAATTAAAAATTCTGTCCTGAATCATTGAAGTCATTGACTGTTTTTTAAAAAACCTTCCAACACAAAAGTCTACGTTTCTAAGCTGTGAAACTCAGACCAAAATTGAAAGTAAAGTGAATGGAAAATTTACACCTATTTTTGAAAAATCAAAGAACTTACTTAAACTTTAAAAGTGCATCTCTGAAGTTCGAATTCCTTTTATTACATTATACATTCAAGTGTAATATGCTGCTGTGATATGTATTTTCTGAGAAATAATTGTTTTACAGGAAAATGCAGAGAATAATCTTGACAGTTAAGTTTAATATTAATAAAAACATTGAAAATACTAACACCAAATAAATTTTAGAAGAGCAAGCAGAAACATACCTTCAGATATCAGCAAACATGTGTTGAAGCAGGCTACGCACATGTTTACATACTCCTGTCAAAGGAGCAGAGAAAATGAGAGAGACACTAGATATAAAATATTTGAAAACATTAGGTAAGTCAAGAAAAATCTTTATATAGTACTTATAAAGTATCTGCAGAGGTAAGTTGAGATTTCTCTCAGTGTAAACTAGTGTTTGATATTTTGCAGTAAACCATAAGCATCTGCTAAATTTTACTCTCAATTAACTTTTGACAAAACAAATTTGCATTTTTCAATGAAACAGAAAATACATTTTTTGTAGTTGTTTTGTTATTTGGTTGTTTTTTGGAGGAAAATGAAGTTACTAAGCAAGACTACATCTCCGCATTTTCCTATGACAATTTCTGTCTATTCTGCAAAACATTTGAATTAGGCAAATTCTGAGCTTTCATTCAAAGTAAGCACTGCCATTTTTTGGCTGAGAGATGTGTTTTGGTATCATTCACCGGAGAATGAATGAGAACTGGTACAAAAGTACCAAATTAGCAAGCCACAGAAATGCATTGACAGTCTAAAAAAATTAAGAAACCCTACTTAGCCTTCCAATATTTTTTGTGATTCTAGTACTCTACAATTTATGTTAATGTGTTTTCAATTTCAATTCAATTATTTGCATCCATGACTTATGAGAAACATTTTCACTCAACACAGGTACTAAAATCAGGACACAAAATATTTGTGCCTAACAAGTGAAAGGTTTGCCTACTAAGTATATGAGAAGTAGACAAATGGAAACAAATTTTAATATACAAAATTTTACTGTAAAAAATTGTATTAAATTCATATGTCAAAATCTTTCCTTTAAACATACTTTTATATAAAATGTTTAAGATTTTCACTAGAAGTGTATTACTGGCTACAGAAAAAGCAAAGAAAATAAATAACAGAGTTAATAGAAAAACAAAATATAAAACATCATACAATTAAAGCTAAAAAGGTTTATACTTTTAATTTAAAAAAAGGCTTATCATTAAAATAGAATAGAAGGCTAGCATACTTTAACCTCTTTTTTTGTTTACTATTTTAATGAGAAAAATATTTATAATTCACAAACATGAATAATCAGAAAGTACAAGACAAAAATACAATAATCTCCCAACTACAAGTATGTAGTAATTGCTAATAACAAGATAGAACATTTACCACAGTCATATTTGAACATAATTCACAGCCATAAAAATTCTTAAGTTTGGAAAATCGCTAGCTACAAACTGGCTACAAAAAGGCATAATTATGTAACAGCTTTCTTTCCTTTCAATGATTCAGAAAACTACAATTAAGACAGTTGATATTAACCCCTTCCTATTTTCTCTTATAGGTAGAATAAAGAAAGTTACATAACGCTAAAATGGAAGTCAAAAGTTTTATGGAAATACTTGCTTTGTGCTAATATTGGAGAAGTGTTTTTTCATAACCTGTACCTATCATTGAACAACACTAGCACATAAAAGAACAGGATTTTGCATTGCATGATGGATGACGTAAACCCTTACGTTTGAAATGTATCTTTAGGAGGGGATGTCTTTAAATGAAGCCCTAACAACAGATTTGAAACTTTCTCAACAATAGTTAACAAATTTTAAACAAATGTTAGTATGTTATTGTTTTTGCTCAAATGGAGGAATAAACAATTATAAAAATGTCGCAAGTCTGATTTTCAATGAAATCTCTGAAATTCTGAGACGTCCAAAAGTAAAATAAATATTTAACGCCCTCCTAGAACTACATTATTGAAGATGAGAGTCATTTATGTGAATGAAATCTCCCCTTCAAAATTATTTTTTAAATTAATGTTATATTCATTTTTTTTCTCAAAACAATAAGAAATTTCTATGCAATTTTAAGTGAAAAAGATACTATCTTTCAACAATGCAGAAACAAGATTTTCTCAAATTTTCATTGAAATTATTTCTCGTATAGAGCAATATTTGGTTAATACAGCATAGATTCAATATCCATTAAAATCGTAAATCCAATAAAATAAAAATCTTTCAACAATGCAGAAACAAGATTTTCTCAAAAATTGGATCCAATTTTTTTTCAAATACAGCTATGTTTATTTTTCACCTGGAGAGAGGATTTTTCTCTTCCCCTATGCATTGATTTTTTCATTCTTTGTTTTTTCCATATTCTTAGAATAGTTTTTAGCTGATCCTCTGCTGAGTTTTGAGTCCATTTGAACTAATTATCAACGGCTATTGTAAACAGCTTACTCAGAAATATTTAGAGTGGTGGTGGAGCTTGTGTACCCCCATGATCCTGAGAGCTATGCCAGCAGTAGCTACTGGTAGGGCCTCCCTTGCCAGACTGCTCAAAGGGGAAGGGTCAGATGAAGAAGTACTGCAGAAGAGGGTGGGGGTGCAAGAATTGAACAACAAAGACAGTGCGCTGAAGAGGATCCCAAAATGACGAAGATTTAGCCAAAAATCCTAGCCTACATTTCTTCCGAGGGATGATCTCACCAACTAAACAAGCAGATTCCATAAGGGATTTGGGCAGGAGGAACTCAAAGCCCTGGTGAAGCTATCCTCCTAGGGGAGTAAACCCTAAAAAAATCCTGGTCCTCCTAGTACGGA